ATCATGTAGCATGCCTCCAAGGGGGCGTTGGACTGGGGTAAACAAGCCGGGGACAAACAAAAGATGCGCATTACAACTCATATCGTTTCTCTGAAGCTATTGAGGATATTTACGCTTCCTCCATTTAACAGCCCTGGATGACGACGCGCTGCCGAGGCCCGTTCGGGGCTGAAGCGGGACTCATGCCGGCCTAGCTTCCGGATCAGTCGGGTGTCCGTTCGGTGGAGACGGTGTACAGAGGCCAAACCGATGCGTCGGGCAGGTGCGTGGATATCAAAGTGCACGGGAGAAGATCGTATGGTCCAGACAAGGCTGATGCCGTCTGGATGTTTTGGGTTCGCAATGTACCCAAAGCAGATCTACGTGGTCTCCCGTTCTACGGATACGGATCCATCGCGGCAGCATCGCCACCTCCCTGACCTGGACGAGTCAATCTCCGGGTGACGAACGACAGACGCTCAGTCCTTCTTAGACGACGGAGGTGTCAGTGCACTACTCAAAATCCGACGAAGAGCCCACTCGCAGAGTTACAAAGACCGACTTGTCAAGGACGTGGTTATGTTGGATCGCGACCTAGTAGAGAAAGCTACGCTGACATTTTTGGCTCGTTCTAGACCCCGCAAATACACGGGAGAGCTGGAGTTCGTGATGTTCCAGACAAGGGCACTCTTCACGTCGCCTCTGGGGTGATGCTCCATCAACACGGGGGGTGTCTATCTGAGCTGACTCGAAACGGGCAGGTAAGATGCTGCATCTAAATTTGACAGGACAGCAAGCGTTCATCACGAGATCGGCTTTCCGCACTACACGACCCAACAGCCTGACAACGACGCAGAAGGGCATTCGCCTAGAGGGCTGAAAGACTAAGAGACGGGGGAACTGCCACTTTCGGCAAGCGCATGGAATTGGTGCAGAAGGCTTCTGGAACTTTGGAAGCTCGACTGGTTAATATCTTCGCTGTCAGCTTATGCCGGTGATTCCTTTTGGACAGCGGCCTTTGGATCTTGAAAATTTGCAAGACACGCGCAAAGTCTGTCGACGCATGTATGTCCTGCAAGACGTCATGCTACCGATGTGTCGGGTGGCATTAGTTCAATGACTAGCCACCTGAGCGTTTACGACGTTGCATGACACGGGATACAGGATGCAGTTGACTCGCCTGGCTGGAGCCCTGCTGGGCGGAAAAAGTCGCCGCCGCGCCTAATGTCCTTCAAAGGAGGCTTTTGGTTGGGTGGACGACGATGATCTACCGCCCCGGCCACAGCAGCCCCGCGGTAGCACCGGCTGAGGAACAAGGTCTCGCAACGCCTGAAAAGCCATGCTACTGGTGCCAGTGGGCGTGTGCAAGGCCTCGCTTCAGGTGTTGAAGTTTGCAATTGCGCCGAACCGGCCACGGGTGCGGTGGCGGACCGTGTTTGCCTTGGCTGCGGCTGCTGTTGCTTCAGCCGCCGAGGGCTGGGCTTTGGCTGGGCTTTGGCTGGGCTTTGGCGCCGATGTTCTCGACACCTAGGTGTCTCCGGTCAACCGAGATCTTCATGTCGCACGGGGTGGCTGGCTTCTCTCACGCCGCGAATGAACGGCTCTCGATGACCTTGGGAGATGACCTCCAAGAGTGCCGGCCCCTGAGATTTCCTGCCCAAAACAAGCTGCGCCCAGCGATCAGCCATGCCGCAGCCGTAACACCCGGGATGGAACCCTTTCATCGGCGCGAATGCAACGACGCAGGCAAGTCGGGATCGACTTGCTACATGTCTTGCTCCTGTCCGTTTCTCACCGGCAGAAGCTTGACAGAGTGACAGACCAAGTGACATTTTCTCTCGGTGCTTACGCGGTCATCGGAGGGTGGCGGCGGGGTTGAGGAACGGAACTCAGCTGGTGTTGTAGCGACTCTGTGTCTCCCTGTGAGGCAGCCGTCAGAGCATCATCAAAGAGCATTGTTGTTCCCCATAGCGGCTCCTGACAGAGCTTCGGGACGCATTCCAAGCAGAAAGGCTGTGCTGCCATTCCATTCCCACCCTCACGGCACTGGGTTTGTTATGGGTTTGCAGCACGGCCCCCTAGGCCCTAGGCAAAACGGCTCGATGGGCTGGTGGACGGCGAAAAAAAAAAAAAAAAAAAAAAAAGCGTGTCACCCTTGGCTCCGAAGGTTCCTGGTTACGCACGCGTTCGGCGGCGGCAGCCAATGCCCGCGGTGCCCCGGCCGGAGGAATTGCTGTCTTGGAATCCCGTCTCCGGCGTCTCGACTGCCGGAGCCCTAACGCATTCTAACTCTCCCCTTCCTACTGGACACTAAAATCCCGCGACGCCCCCGTTTTAGGGAGATTGGCATCGAGGACAAGACCGGCCCCCCTCCCCATCCCTCCCCATCTCCCCTACCGCTGACCGGCCCTGTTTGTGGATACTTTGCTCGACCGGCGAGTGTGGCAGTGCAAGAAGCAATGTCCAGGAGGTTACGAGGGCCAATCGACGAGTCATATCGACCTTTGTGTGCTGTTGGGCGACAAAAGTCGTCGCTCTGTCTTTCTTCCTAGCTCAAGGAACGAAAAAGCTGGCAAGGCGGGGTTTCATGTGCTTGTTTTTGAGTTCAATCTCGGCAGGATTCCCACCAGGGACAAAGACGGGACGATAGACCAGGGCAATTTGTGTTCAATGGTTCATACTTGTATCGATTTGGACGAAGCTACGATAGCGTTCAATTACCGTGCCGTCCCTACAGGCGAGCGAGACCCCATCATGATACACGCACCCGTACGAATACTTGCCTACCTGAGGTACACTCTCCATCCGACACGCAAAACACCAACCAAGCCCGACGATGTCACTGACTTGGGGCGATTGATCGCTGGAGCTTCGAAAAAGGACCAGGGGTCGGCCCTTTGAACTGCGCTAATCGACAAACTCCCCTAATTATCTCCTTGGACTCCAGTCCGTGGTCCCCTCTCACACGCTAGGGCTTTCCCAGTCCTCCCCCGTATCAACCTCCACTGGCTCTGTCCAGGCCAGGCCCCCGACGTGCCGAGGTCGAGGACGGGGATAACCTCTCTTTTTGGTAGAGCGCGTTCACAACCATGGCCGAAACCACGCTGATCATGATCCCGCACTTTCCGCCCTACCGGCCACAGGTGGTGGTTTTAGCTTGGGGGGCTTTGGGAACACGACGCCAAGGGTCCGTTTGCCGCTAGGACAGCACGCTATCCCTCCAGCTGGGAATATGTCACAGGCCCGTAGGGCGGAAGAGGCAAAGCAGCCTCTTTCGGACTTGCTCGTTAGGGCTCATCTGACGGTGTGCTAGTGGTGGTCGACAATAGGGAGGGAGGGAGGGACATGCGCCGGCGCCAGCGTTCGGGTGAGCGAGAACCGGCCGTCTGCTGATGCTTCATACTAAAAGTAAAGTAGCACACCTTCTCGAAGGACACGCGAAGCGAAGAAAAGCAACAGTAATCGCCGACCACTTTGTTGCGCTGTGGTCGTCGTCGGGGTTCCATCTCGGACCGTGGCTTGCAATAGTCCGCACGCTAGCTGCCCTCGAGAGCGTCAAGTTCCTTCACGCAGACGCAGCGCTCGATTGTTGATTAGTATTCAGCAGTATTACACACTGCTTGGTAACAAGCTACAGAAACGACGAAGCGATTGAGCTACAGAACTAGCTACACTACCGCGATCGAAACCGTGTCCCGAGCCCCCCAAGCAGAACACAGATGCCGAGCCACAGCAGCGTTACGCGCGGGGTTCTTTCCACCATTCCATTGCCTCTCCTCATGCAACCTCGAAGCTTGACGGGATCGCATCGCGAACTATTCCCCATACGTGCCGTCTCGTCCGCTGTCAAATCTGCCTTCTTTGCCCAACGTCACTGGCACGTCAGCCACCCGCGCATCTACCCTGCCCTGCGAAATATTGTCAGGGCTGGCTCTGCTAAGGGTTCCTGCTGGGGTGAGGGGGCGTTCCCTCAGCGAGAATGGAACTTAGGAAGAACCCGCCCAAGGCGAGAGGGGGCCACAGGTAATCAATCGGTGAAATCTTGACTGGGCCTTTAGGCGTGTGCCGCGCCATTTGCGTTGTTGCCCTGTCCTGTCCCCTTCCCAAGCGGCGTGCTTCTTCGCCTTCGCTCCGTGAACCCCCAATTGACCAAACCACCCCTTCCATGCCGGAATATGGATGGATCATCAAGGGGGTCTTGCACTCTGTTAGAGTTTACGCCCTGGGCTGCTGGACATTGCACGCGCAGTTTTGGGGGCCAACGGGGGCCTGTTTTGCGACTTACGAGGATTTACACGAGGAACCACCACGGCCTCCTCTTCTCTCTGCTGATGCTGCTCTCACTTTGGTGGTAGGGCGAAGAAAGGGTAGCAACTATCCGCAAAAGGGCGTTTCATCCCCGTCTGGTTTGCCCATTTCCCACGCGATCAGCGGCTTACGGTGCAGTAGTTGTCCCCTCTTTCGGTCATCTCAAGGATGAGAAGAGAGAATGCCTCCCCCAATCTCGGCCCTATTCTCTTCTGACTTTGATGGGTTTTCGAGAAGGGGCCCCACATTCTTCAGCAACTGTTTCGTTCGTTCTCTCTTGGACCTGCCTGCACTGCCACCCAGGAACCAGGGGTGTGGTGTGTGGCCGTCATCCATCAAGCGAACGTCGAACAACGGACGACTTATACTACATCCGTACACCACCGCGAAGAATGATGCCTCGGTGTGTGTGTGTGCACCAGCAGCAAGTCAGCCTGTCACCTCTGCCAGGCTTCAGTCATCTTCCCTGAAGGTTTTTCTGCTTTCTACTCTTCCCGTCAGCGCAGGCGGCGACAGGTATGTACTTTGCTGACTGGGCCCCATCGTCGTGGAGATCGCTACCGGCGCTGTACCTGTCCCGGATGCGAGGGTCTTCCCTGGTTTCGCGATGCCGCCCGACGTCGCCAGACACGGCAGAGCTGCAAAGTGCGGTGAAGGGGGAGCGCTTCTCTCGCCCAAGCCTGACCCTACCGACCACTGGACTGGAGATACAAATGCCTGCACACGACACACACACACACACAGCACACACTCCTGACACGCAGCACGCGCTGGGAAAAGGAGGAGAGGAAAGGGCGCTAACCAGCCCTGCCGTCTTGTGGCCCTGGCGATCGCACGGCATCGCATCGCGTGGTAACACTGCTAAACGGCGGTGGCCGGGGGTGGTGGTATGTGACCCAGACCAGCAGTACAGCATTGCCATTTGATCAGGGCCACGAAACGGTAACGAAGGTTCACAGATTAAGCAGTCCTTTGCGCCCGCCCGGCCCCGCGAATGAATCGACGCAAAAAGGCTCGCCCGCTCGTTGCTGGAGCTAGCTTCTTCGTTGTTCCCTGGCCCCTGGTGGTTCTCGTTGGCCTGATGAAATACCACGCGGCATCCACGATCTCTCTCCAGCGGTTCGTCCTCCGTACGCTACGGGTGAATCACCTTAACAGTGACCTGATATCGCCGTTGCCGACGGCAATGGCCGGCAAAACCTATTACTATGTGTGTTATCCAATATTCGGCGGGTTTTCCGGATTGACGACACGGGACATGGTGTGCCTTCCATGGCGAAGCAAGCCAATTCTGCCCAACATCACAGCCCTTCGGACTCAAAGACCGCTCCAGGAACATGAATCGCGGGGTGTGCAGATAACTTTCGCGTCGTCCTCACTTTATCTTCCCAGCACAGGTTCGTTCCTTGGCCTTCACGGAGCTCGCCAAGCAACGTTGCTTTTTTGCGGTTCATGTTCGTCAAAAAAACCGCTGGGATACCTAACTTGGTTCTGGGGGTGGTCCCGCTTCTTCGCCCGTAGGCGAGAGTGTGAATCGTGCCGTCCGGTTCCCTCTCATCCGTCCCTCCCCCTTCCCAGCCGCTGAGTGGGTGAAAAATGAACATGGCTCGGTGGGAAAGTGGGAAAGAGGTGATCCCCAGACAATAAGGCTGGGTCTGGGCAACCCGGCAGGGCAGCAGGGCTGGCAATCTTAAAGAAACCTGGCCCAGCAGCGGCAGGGAACGACGACGGACTAAGCCTCATTGCAAGAAGTCTCAAGTCGGAAAGAATTCCGTAAGATCGCTGTTGTTTTGGTTGTTTCGGGCACTGCTCCTCCCTCCTACAATATATATCTGATATGCGCAAGGTGGTTAAGGTGAAATTTGGGGGTCGGAGGAGGGGAACCGGGGGCTGGAATAGGGCGCTAACACGGTACAGCACGCGCTCCGGATGGGGGCGCGCTACCTTTTGCTGCGATTTTGTGTTTGCAGTGGAACCCGCGCATCACAGGATGGAAGAGAAAGTGTCGTCATTGCGATCGGCTCGGGAAAACAGCGCGAATCGTTGTTAAAGGGGGAGTGGGGAGCAGCAGAGCAGCCAGCCCTGGGCAGCGACGGAGGGAGGGGAGGGGTCTTCCAAGTGGAAGGACAAGAAGAACCGCTTGTGATTCTCTTTTTCTTGTTTTTTTGATGTGCAATACTTCGGCATTAACCGAGAGATATGAGAGGGCCCCCCGTCCCCCCGTCCCCCCGTCCCGGAGCCGCGCCCAAGTCAGCATCAGCAAGCAAGCTGTGTGCAATATGTGTGAATGAGTAAGTTTTTGGGTCCCGTTGCTACCTGCACGACATGGAGAGTTGCATTATTGGGCACGCTGGACACCGGCCGGAGGCGGCGGCGGTGGTGTTCGCGATGGGGGCGCGGTCCAGCAGGAGGGGCAATTGTTTCCTTTTCGTCACTGCGACCACGGATACTTTTCTTTTGTTTCTTTGGCCTATTTGGGAACTGTTGCTATAAAAATACGAAAAAAAGGGACGGGTTTATTGCTTTGTCAAGTGTTCGTAACACGGAACTTGACTTGTTGTGTGCTGCGGTTGCAGTCTGACTTAGTCAGTGCCTTGCTGGGCTAAGAACCCGGTTGTCACCATTTTTTTCGTCCCATGGTTCAAGTTTGTTTTGCGGCTTTTGCATTGAAGAAAGGGCAATAGTTGGGCAAGTGGTGCAGGAGGAGCCACATGTTGCGTGATTGCCGGGTTTGGGAGACAGAGAGGGTTTTTTCGTCTCATCTTGCCACGAGGCTTAGGTTCACCGTTCACCGTTCATTTGCCCCGCGTGCGGTGGGTGTCCCATAGACAAGGCGAGAAGAACGAGGTCGTCGGATGGCGCTCGTGTTCGTTCTTGTAAGACCTCACCCTACTTAACCGATCACCCCCTATAACTGATCAGCTGAAAACGGGTAATTTTAGGTTTATAACTTTGAATATTAATGTCTTCTGATTTATTGTAACTATCATAAAAGGCCCTTAAAATGAAATTTAAAGTATTAACTAGTAAATTAAGCTATTTAGTCTTTTTCTAATATTGAGTAGTTAATATATAGCGTTACTAAGCGTACTGTTTTATATTTAATAACCTCTATAGTTTTCTACTTAGCCTCTATAATCTATAGTATTATTATAAACCTCTTATTAGGTTTTAGCTTAATTTTAGTATGTTATAATAGTTTATATTAATTAATAAATACTTAGAGATAAGTTATTTTCTACTATACTATTAAGATCTTTATATTATTATTATTAATTATTTTACTAACTTTAGTAAAAACTAATATATATACTATATAATCCTATTTCTCTCTATATTAATAGCCCTCTTATATTAACTTATATTTTTAGAAATTTATTAATTTAGTAAGAGTAGTAATAGTAAATTATAATAGTATTTTAGGTATTTTAAGTAACTAAAGATCTTATAGAAGTACTTTAAGTATATCTATAAATACTAAGACTATTAAAAATAAACTTATTAATAATTAAATAATATTAATAAGTTATAACCTGGTAGTTAGCTATTTAGTATAGATATTTCTAGTTATAAATATATTATTATAAACTTAGAAGTAGTAATATAGAAAATTCTATTTCTTAATAGATACAAAGTTAGATAGAAGTTTATAATTATATATAGCTTTATAGAAAGCTTTTTTAAGAGGTAAAAAGATTAAATTAATATATTAAATAGCTAGGTAATATAAAAACTATAAATAAGTTGATAAGCTAAATAAATCTATTTATAGTAATATATTTATACAAAGTTAGTAGATATATAACTTCTATAGCTATTAATAATTAGTAATTATTTAGATTATAAATATTTAGCCCTCATTACTATATAGAATAAAAACCCTTTTTAGCTATTAAAGATTTATAGCGTTGGTATTTATTTATTAGATAATATAACAAACTATCAAAAAATAAAATTAAATATCTCTAAAAAGAACTATTACTACTAAATATTCTAATTAGTAAAGATTATTAATTGTAGTATAGTTTAGCTAGTAACTAAGATATATTTAAATATAGTTATCTATATATAGTTTTTTAAAGCTTAAATGTATATAGTTTATCTCTAAAGTTTATTTAATATTAAATAGTTTCTATCTAATTTTTTATTAAACTAATTTTATCTATATTTTAATATAAGAATAGGGGGATATGTTCTATTTCTAGTAGATTAAATATCTTAAATAGATTTTTAATTGTAATAGTATTAATATTTTTTATATATTTAAAATTAATAGGTTTTATTTTTAGCGTTTTAATAATGAAGTTTTAATATAAAAAACCCTCTATCTACCTCTTATTAAAGAGGTATATATTACTACTAATATAGATAATATAAATTACTAATTTATTAACTTATTTATAAGTAGAAATAATACTAAGAGAACTTCACATAATAATTTATAATACTAGAGATATTTTTTAAACAAGCGTAAAGCGTTAATACATAGCTTTAGCCTTTTTATATACTCCTCTATTTCTAAAATAGTTATAAAACGTTATATATAGGATTCTTTAGTTATAAGAAACTTATTAAATACTTATATTACTTAATATAGCATCCTTAGTATTTTTAATATACTCTTTAGTATAACTTAATATACTAAATTAATTAGTATTTTTAAAAGAATTAATTTGTAGTATTATAGTGTAGTTAACGCGGTGGGCGCAAAAGATGTGGTGGTGTTATTATTAGCAAACGCGTCGTTTTCGGCTGATCGGTTATGGGGGGTGATCGGTTAAGTGGGGTGGGGTCTTAACAGCTCTGTTGCGGGGTGGGGATAGATAGGGTAAGGTGCACTGTTCATCCTGGTAGTGGTGCGCTTCGATGGCTAGGTTTGGGTTGTGCTAGCCGCGCCGGCGCGCGCTACGGAGCAGCCAGGGCGGTATGTGTACATAGTAGCTTGAGTCGTTGGAGGGATGTAGCCCCGTCTATTGGCGCTGTTGCTGCGAAGCACGCGATTTGGATTTATGAGCTCTGTTTGGGTTTGATCCGGCAGCACGAGGAGATGTTCTGCCATTTCTCCTTAGGCATTTGATCTGGTGTCAGTGACTTTGGCGTGTAGATCTCTGTTTTGGAGGGGGGGTGTGTATTCGTAGATGGATGGATGTTGCTGATTGTCGTGGTGCCTTATCTAGATTTCAATTGATTGGGCTATCTGGGGTTTATTTCGTCGATTGGGAGATTGGAACGTGTAAAGACGGGATTTCCTTGGTGGTTGGGATCACGGAGGCGTCTCCGGTAGGAGAGACAGAGAGAGAGGCCAAGCAAGCCTGAGGGGGATAGAGCATGCCGGTAGAAGAGTGCGTGGCATGCATGGTGGTTATTTGGATTAGGGGACGGAGGTTGTCGCGGATGTAGTGTAGTGTGAAGCAGTAGTGCGGATTGCCGTCTGTTAGTGTGAAGGGTTTTGGGGGGGAGAAGGGAAAGGTTAGGCTGGGTTTGCTAGCTGGGCTGGGCTGGGCTGGGCTGGACTGGGGTAGGAGGAGTTGGAGGTTTGGATTTTTTGGAGAGAAGTTGAGGTTTTGGGTTTTTCCCTTCTCGGGGGTTTGGGGTATCCTTCTCCAAGGGAGGGAGGGAGACAGGACTGAGAGGTAGGGGTAGCTTTTGCTGGACCTTGACCACTTTGACATGGGACTGCTTGAGACGGTTTGGTCTTGGCATTCTTCTTGTTTGTGACGCTGGACGGACGGGTGGGATGGACATGGACATGGACCATGGGTTGTTGTGTGTGTGTTTTTTTCCACACCACGCTCTTTGATACCACGGAAGTTGCTTGATCCCGGGTCTTAAGAGGCGCGGGTTATGTTTTGGGCACGGGATATCAATATGGGACGGGAACGGGTTCGTGATTGAATCATGACAACGGTTTGGCACAAGAGAGATACAACACGCCCCCCTCCACCTCTCATCGGAGATTATTGCACAATCCCAGCCTGGGCAGAAATATCGAAAATCT